AAAAAAAAAAAAAAAAAAGAACGAGGCCAATATCCAGCCATTTTGGCCGAACAAGCTTGGTCAATAAAGGATTTATTATATGTATGGTTTTCGGGGAAATTTTTCTTGCGGGACACGGCGGGTAGTCCCGAGCGGGCAAGATAGCTCCATCTTGCTCGCTCGGGTAGCCAATCAAACCGCAGGACTTAATTCATCTTATAATAAATGTAATTCTTTTGAAAAGGAAAAAAAATTCTCGACTTGTGCTGTTTCTCTTCCACCCACTACCCCTCAAAAACGACTAGGTCATAAGTTTGTATCCTAAAAGTGGATTGTGGTCCATGAAATTGCTATTTTTAAAACCACTTTAGCTTGGATTTCCCCGTTTTCACCAATTAACTATCAACTGAAATATGGCCACCTTACATCACTGGAATAACGTAACAACACATTAACTGGTGCCTTCACATGTGCTGCATTCGTGACCAAACCGCTCCCGCGTATTATTCGTGGAAACAATATTTCTTGTGAAATGATAAGGCTATTTTTTTGAAAACTTGCAATTGATGAGAAAGTCTTGTAATTGTGTTTTTATTAATACATGGTCAGTGTGGTGTGCGATGATAACGTAATTCTAGGGCGTTTAGAAGTAGGGTGGCGAGGAGAACTCCTGGGTCAGTCATGCACCCCATCTCTCCCTCCACGCACGGGGGAGCAGGCAAGTGGTAGAAATTTTTTGCCCAAAACAATTTCAGAATCGATCTTACCATCGATAATTATATCGTGAACTGATCCTTCAAAGTTCTACAAAACTCTGTGGTGGTAAATCTAACACTCCTACTCAGATCTATCTTGGGGCAGGCAGCGCACGTGAAGTCTGTTTCGCGGCTCTTGCCCGAATATTTCCTTTAAAACTCCTTTGGAGGGGTGGGGCATAACATTAAAAGGTGCCTGAGGTATGAAGGCCCGTTCGCAGCGTTTATTATTATTATTATTATTATTATTATTATTGGGCATCCTTTTTGATAGGAGTGCATAAGTCAAGCAGAAAAATATGGCGATAGTTGTGAAACGTAAGAGATATTTATTGAATCGGATCATATCCAGGACGATACCGTGTCCTATAACAATAATAACTGAAACTATTTAAGGTAATAACTACCTACAAATTAAGTGAAAACTATCGAGTTACTATTGATATAAACTATCTTTTGTTATGTACAGAAGTGAAGGAAGTGCGAAATGGATACATCAAAAACCGTGTCCTTCTTTACTACATCTTTGATCAATTTAGACAATTCTATACACAACTGTTATGTTTATAAACGTGGAAGTACAATACAATGGCATCTTTTAGGGGTCAAATAACGCCTTGGCTAACCAGGACGTGATCCCTTTATCTATATTTTCCGATAAGTATCTCTGCCCCTTGAACATAGGGTTCTCCCGGAGGCTAGCCATTGGTAGGACTGAAGGACGTCCGGATTACAAGAAAAGCACCCTAAATCACCTGGCCTTGATGCTTGTTTGAAGGTGTAATATCAAACATTATACTGATGAAACATAGTAAAAACACGCCTGCTGGCGCGATGATAAGAAAGAGATGATAGTAAAAAACAGTAAAGCTAAGCATAACATTGTTAGAAGGTCTCATACTGACACTCAGGCGAGTGTTGTATTTTAATAGTGTAATACATAGCGCTAGATTCTTGAATAAAGTTACTTATTTTATTCTTTATTTGGCAAAGAAAGAACTGTTCATTTCTATATGCAAAATGGAAAGAGAAGGCTTTTAAGTTACTCATAAAGTGAAACATTAAAGCTGGTTTTCTCTGCGGAATAAGCATACGCAACACACGCGTGCGCAGTAGAGCGCTGCTAAGTAGCGCCTTTTGTTGGGAAATTTTGTAACAAAAGGTGCTAATCTATCAAGATCTTACTGCGTCTGCGCGTGTCGGCTTATGCACATGCGCTGGTGAAAACCAGTTTTTATAGGCTGGTTTTCACTAGAGCAGAAGCACAAGCACAAGCATAAGCATAAGCACAAGTGAAAACAGCCACGACATAAACATAAGCATAAGCAGAAACATAAGAAGAACGAACCCAGTTTTTTGTCTTGTGCAGTTTTCACTAGTAACGCGCTCGACATAAGCATAAGCATAAGCACAAGAAAAACGAACAGTTCCGTTTTTCTTGTGCTTATGCTTACGTCGAGCGCGTTACTAGTGAAAACTGCACAAGACAAATAACTGGGTTCGTTCTTCTTATGTTTCTGCTTATGCTTATGCTTATGTCGTGGCTGTTTTCACTTGTGCTTATGCTTATGCTTGGGCTTGTGCTTATGTTCTAGTGAAAACCAGCCTTAATCAGTAAACATAGTTGTACAAAACAAAGTGAAAAAAACCTATCCATAAATAAGTGTGATAAAAATTCACAAAGAGAGGATACCTAAACCCTTTGTTATTTGGTCATACATCACGAACAGCACGACGGGACTTTGAAACGAGGAGAACGTTTTTAAAAGACTGACGAGCGGCAAGCGAGTGTTTTCTACATTTCTTAAATTTTCGTCTTCAACTCTGGGGTATTTTTTGACGTGTAATACATGGTTAAGGCTTCTTGAGATGCTGCAGCCGATAATACAAATTTAGCGTGCGCGAACTGCAGTAAAACACATTGCAATGTTTTGGAACTCTGATGCTAGTAAAACATAGCTTGTTAGCTAATCAAAGCGCGTGCAGAAATTAAATTGTACTATGATTTGGTGCTAAACCTAGTTCATTCACAAGTGAATGGAAAACTGGCCTCCTAAGCGTCGAATCATTTCTTCATTATTCTGATGAATTCTGCAATGAAGGACACAAAGATATAGCATAAAAGAGCAAATATGTAACATTCAACAATAATTTTAGTCAAGGTAAATTACCAGAGTTCTCCCGCGGCATTCCTGGCTCGTGGTCTTTATTTTAACCCAGTACCCATCGAGGTTGAACTTGCTCATCGATTAGTTATTTTTTATTTCATTTCATGATAAATGTCAATAGCAATTTCCAATTTCATAATAGAGTGTTTAGGCACTCGCGGAACTCACGTGTGTGCGGGTTCGTGGCCCAGTTTGTTATCCCGTACTTGCGGAAGCTTCTGAAACCTTCTGCTATCAAAGTTTGATTTTGGTGCTCACGAAAAGCCGTTATAATTAATACTTTTTATTCACACTGGTGTCGCCTTTACACTGCGCTCTGGCCTTGCCCGAGTAAGCACCAGTGCCATTAAGGGCGAAGGTAGAGTTAAAGTTGGAGTCTGCGACGGGTCAAGTGGTCCACACCACTTCAGCTTACGATGCTTATCCTTGTTTCCGCAGCATTAAGCGCACAACGAAGAGTATTTCTACTCTCCCTGAGATGGGATGCTAGTCCATCGCAGGGTTGCTACCGAACATTAAATTAACCGATACCCATTTATACACCTGACTGGAGAGAGGCACTGTAAAAGTGATGAATTTTGCCTAAGAGCACAACGCTGTCGCAGTGACCCCGGCTAGGGCTCGAACTCAGACCGCTCGATCTGGAGTCCACCATCACCACTAGCACCATCTCCGAAAGAAATCTCGATTTCTTTTAGCTAGGCACAAGCGGCACGCCTTACCTGGCGTTTCAGTCGTTAATTATCAGTTAATTATGTTAATTATGCTAATTGTAGTTAATTATGTTACCTTCATAGTTGACTCTCCCATCTCCATCCAGGTCGACCTCTTTGATCATGTTTTCCACAGCAGCATCAGACATTTGTTCTCCCAGGCTGGTCATTACAAAGGTGAGTTCCCTTTTGGATATGAACCCGTTACTATCTCTATCGAACAGTTGGAACGCGTCACGGAGATCATCCTCGAATGTGTGTTCACCCATCTTCTTCGCCATGACTTCAAGGAACTCCATAAAGTCGATGGACCCATCACCTAAAAGGATGAAAACCGGTCTTGCGTGACGAAATTCTTCAGTCGTTAAATGATGTCTATGTTAAGCAAGTCATTTTGAAGTGGGATTAGAACAAACATTAGTAGGCTGGGTAATGGGATTTATATCTCCTCTCGTCTCAAGACTCTCATTAAACTCAGTGTAATTCTGTGAATGGAACACCACTTGACTATTCCGCCAAAGAAAGTTATATTGCCCAGAATTATCATGTGGTGCTGTCTTACAGTTTGAGAATGTCTTTGAAATCATTGAAACGAACTCGTTGGCATATTAAATAGTGTGATGTGTGTATGTCTTACCATCTTGGTCAGCCTTTTTAATCATCTCTTCAACTTCTCTGCTTGTAGGAGATTGACCCAACGATCTCATGACGTCAATCAATTCATCCGCTGTTATTCTTCCATTGCCATCCTTATCAAAGAGTAAAAACGCTTTCCGGAAATCTAGAGTGAGAGCAACCATCTGTTGTAAGTTGCAGTTAAATCATTCAAATATCACTTAAAACGTTGCTAATCAAGAGTGAAAGAGGACAGAATGATTTTATAAACAAAGCGAAACCTGCTGTGAGGAGAACGGAAAGGTATATTAATTGGCTTAATCGGATGCCATTATTAAACAACCTATGCATGAGGAGAAAGCGAATCGAGCGGAGCGAAAGCGGATGTTTAATGAAATTAGGAGTCTTAAACAAAACCTTTTAGATGGGATACTGGTCCATCGTAGGTCACTTTACCATTCTTCCCACCAATTTACTACACTACCCATCCATACTCTTGGGTGGAGAGAGGCACTCACAAAGTTAAGCGGCCAAACAAACACTAGGTATTCTAGGTCAGGTGACGCTTGAAGCTGGTCCCATAACTATGTCCGTATTTAGGAGAAGAATACCGAACAGACTAGAATTCGGCTTTAAAAACCCTAACCCTAAGTCTCAGAATAAACTTTTAAACTTGCCTGACCAAGTAGCATGAGTCGTCACCTACCTTCTACTTGTTCCTCAGTTAACTTTGAAACCTAGTAATGAAATGTAGTTATGTCAACTTTGAAGGTGTCTTAAGTGTCTCACCTGAATGGCATCGGTCGTGGTTTTGAGAGTGGAGGTTGTACTTTGTCCATGGAATATAATAGAATTACTAGTCATACTAACTATCCAACGGGTGAATAAGGATAAAAGCCTTGAAGTGCTTTAAACTAAAAAAAAAAACCCATTATTTTCTAAACTCCGCATAGAAAATAACTTATTTATGCTCTCAACTCTCCAACATAAAAAAAGCAAATTTAATCATCATCATCATCATCATTATCAACATCTTTATTAGATCAGTCAGAGCCTGTTAGGCAGCATATCAACCACTTACAAAATACAAAGTGAAGTTGCACACATGTCCGACAATGAAATGCTAAATAGAATAAATATTAGCTATACGTATTTAGACGTTTTCATTAAACTAATGGACTAATATAGTTCTGAAATTCCAAAGCAAAAATAAGAAAACGTTTATTGCTTTTGCAAGGGATAGAACAGTAGTGCTAACATCCTACCCGAAAAGACACTAATACTGAATAAGGCGCCTGGAACATAAACTCATTTTTTTCGCCCTCAAAGGCCCTAAGTTTTAGCTCAAAAATTCCTATATAAAAGCATATTTGTTAGGGAAATTTAAGTCTGGGCTCATGTGGTCGTCAGTGTGGATATATTATTTTTAAAATATTTCATATTTAGTTCAAACACTCTGCATCATGTAAAACGAGTATGCAAATGAAACGGAACACAAGTCTCGGATGACTGTATCACTTAATTTTCACGAAATTTATTTTATCGATGCGTTGTAGAATTCAGTATAACAATTTTAAAAAAGCTTTTCGTCATTCCGCTCTGTTTAAACTGAACTAAACTATGCGTCTGTTTAATGCGATTGTTCCGACATAATTCGCGGAATTTTAGCACTTTTTTTGGACAAGTCCTTATTCAATTCCCTGTCATAAAACGTCAATTTCCGAGGAGAATTTCGTATGTGAAGCAGCGAGTTGTTAAACTTGTTAATTCAGTTCGGATGTAGCTAAGATAAATTAGCTGACCAATAATGATTTTAATCTATATTTCGTCCACGCTGGGTGATTTCTAACAAGGCAGCAAAACCGTAAATTAAACTTACCATTTCAGACATTTCTTCCAGGCAAAAATTTCACAATTCAGTCGAAGCAGGTGAACCAGGCAACAAGTAACCTGCGCAATATTTGTTTAGCCGATTGTGGCTGCTTTTAAATTCAGGCTAGTGGTTAATAACAGTGCCGTTTGGCAACGGCTGAATGGGTAAGTTAATAAAGACATGAATTTTTTATCACCATGCAAGACCTCCCATATTTTGAGATGCCGAGAAGTTAGGAACCCCTCAAGATGCTATGATCGCTAAAAACACGCAATGTTTTAATCTGGCACGGAAGTCTTCTGAAATTGAAAAACAGTTTCGCCGCAAGAATTTTGTCCAAAAATATTACATTACAACGGTTAGCACCTGCGGCCAAGTGCCGTGTTAAAATAGTTGATTCTGTTCGAGGAAATTCAGTTTGTCAAAACATATTACTGAAAAATCAAACAATTTCGTATAATTTTGACTGTTTTGCTTTCCCTGTTAACATTGATATTCTTGTGAAGGGGAAATTTTCCCGGTTTGACTCCAACGGAGATAATTAATTAACTTTTTCGTAAAACATCAAAAAAATTTATAACAAGCTAAGTGCTGCTTTGAAGTTGGGAAATTTCGAGAAGCTTGTTATTTCACATCCTTTCACAGTTGCGACTGTTGAGTAAAGAGATTTCGAAAAGCCTTTTATTCAATAACCTTTCAAGAGTACGACGGAAATTGAGGAGCATATTATAAAATGTAACTGATATTTTGGCTCGTTTGTTGCATTTATGACAAACGATATTTATGACAAGGGGTACATCAAACATTAATCAAAACGGAATATTTTCCTCAGGAATCGAAGCCGTCAAAACATTAAAAACAGTATTTATTTTGGAAGAACAAAGAAGTGTGAAAATTGAAAGTGCCAGAAGCACAGAATTCTACCAGCCACTCAGAATTGAACTATAAGTGATTTTTTTTTGGTTTGTTTGTCTCAGTTGTTTTGTTTGTTTGTCTAATGAATTTCTCATCGCCAAGCCAACGTAGCCTGTAAATACAACTGTCTCTCATCATCATTGTACGTAGCGGAGTTTTCGCGGCTGTATATATTTCCAGGCAAACTTTCAAGAAAAAGAGAAACAGCGAAAGGTTTATCTCTTGCGCGGCCAACTGATGTGATTTAACGAGTCTTTCAGACGCTCTTAGATAATACGCATTAACAAAATGTTATCCACTTGATAGTGATTTATCCAGTAGGTAGGTTTGCCTCACCATTGAACAACCAGCGCCTGATGTTTGCATAATTCGCTTTTTCAAGATGATTATATGTACAGTCGTCACCGAAAATCTTAAACAAAAGCAAAAAGCGGAGAGCCAATCATGACGATGTTATTAATAGCATATTAGTAAAGCAATCACAACTGGTAATACGAAGGTTTGAATTCACAACGGTGTGCCAGACTGAGTTTGGTTTGCACTTGACTGGCCGCAGAAATATGATCTTCGCTTTGACTAGTGAAGAAACTTTACACTCCAGGTTAATCTCTGATAATGATCTACGACTAATTTCTCCTTACAGGATCAATAATTACCTGGCATGTGATGAGAACTAAGAAAAGCATCTAGCAAAGGACATTGTTTCCGAGGTAGCAATAAAATTCACATTGATGGAAATGTATTAAAATCACAATGGAAACGAGCGGTTTTCTTAGAACGACACAAGAACAGTATTATCGCGTTCATCTTCAAATTTGTACTTTGTTTGAGGAATTTCTTCATTTGAAAAAAATCAATAAAAATCAGCTTACTCTTTGACTTCTCGCAAGTGTAGGCGGTGTGAGCAGCATATGCTCTGTTGCATGATTTTTAATGTATTCTCACATGGTAATCATGATAACCAAATTTTCCATCTTTCCTTTTAGAAGCACCTGGCTTAAGCAATAAGGGCTTGCTCAGTATTTTCAGCTGGTCTGTTAAAGAAAACAAGCCTTAATTTAACAGTTTCCGCCCTCTTTATCACCTTTAACATACTCTGTTTTGCAAATTGTGCTTCTTTAGTTTGGCCTCGCCATATTTTAGGGAGATCATAAATGTTTTGTTCAGCCAGTAAATAATATAAAATTAACACGACAGTTCGAAAATGTTCGGAAATGTTGCTTTTAACGTTCATTACTAGTGATCTAAATCGTATTCCGTTAACAATGGAAAATAAGCTTCCGCATTTTAGTTGATACATTTTTCGAGATGTCAAATGGCATTATGGCAACGATGGCGTAAGTCTACTATATGATCGATTCGTTTAATGCAAATGGCGCTTGGCAACGCGGAAAATTGATCGTGATGCTAAATACAATGAAGTAAATGTTTAAAAAATACGCTTTCATCTTTTCATGGAAATCTCATCGACCGTACCTTTGGGTGGAACTGAGATTCGTTCACCGTTACGGAAGGATGTTAACCTCTACTTCAAATTTTTACCAATATCGCGCAAAGCTTAGAAACAAATCTTTCAAGTTTACTTCAATAAAAGCCAAACTACCCTCCATCTTGATACTGCTCCGATGTGCTATTTGTTTCTTTTGATTCGTTCAAAATAGGAAGCAATTTGTGTGATATAAATGCTACGAGGGTGATTGATAAACCATTTGAGCGAAAGATACGCTTTTCCTTCTGAGGATGAAACACGGCCGAAGAATACGTACTGTAAACAACACTCGACTTACTGATAACATTTTGTTTAAAATATAAATTACCAAATTAAGCGAAGTCAAGTTTTGACGACATGATGGATAAAAAAATTAGAAAAATGCCCAAATTTGCAGTCTCGTAATCTTGTTGTCAATGAAATAAACAACTGACGTGGTCACCATTACTCACCTCCATGTCGTGACAGCCTTGAAGGACGGCTCAGAATATTAAATGATGATATTTATTGAAAGCTTGCTCTTTATGTGAATTAATGCATAAAATCCGGGTTGCTAGTCAACTTCGCTGGGGTCTTGTTACTTCCTTTTTAGCGGATTCGACAATGGAAAACGCAATAATTTTGCCCTAAAGGGCTTTTTCGTATTAAATTTTAATGAAATATTCACTTGCCAGGGCTCATGTCTCTTGAAGCGCAAAAGCAAAACCGTATTAAAGCCAGACAGAGATACCTTAATGAGCATCGTTTGTTGGTTGCGGAGGATTTTCAAGCGTCAAAATAATAATTACATGTAAAACGAGCCGGTAAATACGGAAAATTAGCTGATAAACGAGGTTTTTCATTATTCTGGTGTTAGCCAATAGCGCGTCGACTTTAGTAAATATCGAGGCTAGGAACATTGAATCATAATGACATGCGGTTTGTTGGTTTTCTTACCGATATGTTTCACAGCTGGTTCTGAAAGCGTTGAGCATCACATTATTTTAAGAAGAAACATCCTAGGTCTTGAATTTAATCATTTCTGGTTGAAGAGTAAGAAGACCGCGAGTATGATAGAGCGTTTGTTACAATAGATTCGAGTGAGTTGCTTCAAGGGATCCTAAAATTTGATTAGTTTAATTTAACATTTATACGTTGCTTAAGCTTCGAACCATTTTGAGATGTTATATTCAGAATTTATGCCACTTGTTTGCCTGTCACATGACGAACATTCACACATCATAACGGATGTTCACATCGTGCCATGAAGATTATTGATACTGCGAATATTGGCAAATTAAAGGAGCTTAGTCACGGTATTTTGAGTTATTTTGACCGCATACAATAGTGCCTTTAAATTGCAGGAAACCTGAAAATAGGTTGTTCACTAAGATACAAAAACACCAAAGAGATAAGAATAAACCATAAAGGAACAAGGACGGCTAAGGATGGAGAAGATTAACACGGATGACAAACGACGAACTTGAAAAATTCAAGATGCGCGAGCCGTGACTGACGTAGCTCTTTTAACTGAAGTCAGTCTCTCGAAGACGTTTTCTTGTATCGCATTTCCTGGAGCGAGCTGCTTTGCACTCAGTTACTTTCAACTGAGCGCTTTAGCTAAGGGGCGCAGTATTTAAACGAGAGAGGAAAAAAGAGAGTGCGGGAGAAAGTTTTATTGGTAGCTTCTAGGCCGTCTTTAATCATCTTCAATCGTAGGTTAAATTACCCGCATCAGCTGTACTTTCAGCACAGTTGTTCAAAAGGAATAGACGAATAATATTTTTTGGGAGTTCTGCTCGCCCGGGCATAGCGCGAAATGTAACATTTGTGCAGGGTCACATTTCAAACTTTTCCCCCGCCTCTCGGGGAAACTTTGCTGTTACAATACCCACCCCTATTGCCCGGTGTGTCACTAGAAGATTTTGATTCTGAGACCGACAAAATCCTCCGTTTATTCTCTAATTCAAAATCACAAAAAAACTTGGCGCGTCCCAAACACTTCAAGAAGTGAGGCCGGAGTACCCTCTGGGGGCCGAAGCCTACAGTTTAATAATAAGGAAAGTATTTGTATTTTTCTTCAAAAGGAATCGCGCAAATTGAACAAGAATTTAAATTTGAAGAATAATTGCCTAGATCTCTTAGATTTGGTTGCCATCTAGAATCCCGACTTAATGGGCTAATGCTAGGCGGCTGTGTCCTCTTCATGGAAACTTCGAAATGCAAAAATGCGGCCGTCATTTAGGCCCCATTTACATGGTCTCGGTTTCCTGAGACAACCCTCCCCCAATTTAACCTAGCCGAGGTAACTTTTCACTTATTTCTTTGCAAAATTCAACCAACCGTTTACAAGAGGATTGCGAACCCGTCTCTGAGACAACTCGTGTGGGCCAATTGTCTCGCCCTGGCAGGTAGGGTAACCCTAGAAGGCGGGACAACTTTTTGTCATATAAACACTTTCGGCTCGCCTAACCGAGACAATTCTCAGCGTGGCGAGTGTCACGAAATGTCTAGATTTAGGATTTAAAGCAGAAATTCATATCAAAGAAGTAAAAAGTAACTCCGCAAAACCTACTTTGATCGGATGACCGAGGAAAACTCAAAGAAAGAGGGATATATACACATTTGATTATTCTGATAAGGGTTACGAATAATCATGCAGGGCGAACTTTGACTCGGACTACGGAGACAACGCCTTCGCGTGGAAACGCTCGATAAAGTTGTCTCAGAGGGAGGGTTGTCCCGGGTACCCGAGACCATATAACTGGGGCCTAACGTTAACGGCCGCACACTGCCAGGGTACTCAATAACTACAACAGAATAGATAGTGAGTAGCGTTGCCAAATCAAAGAACAGCATTCGAAGTAGAACGCTTGTAGATTTATACTAAAACTTTCTATTTCCTAAATTGATTTCAATTGACTGGTGCGTTAGGTGTAAGTTAATTCCCAATTTTCTCGGAACAAAACGGAAATTCTTAAAGACGTACAATTCTAGGAAAACTTCCGGTTGATCACGTTAGGTCAGCAATCTGAACTGACGGAATTCAAAGTGGTCCAAAAAACGCACCAAAAAACTCGACAGTTACACAGCTCATCTTTCTTTTCGTTTTTCAAGTAATAATACCTGTGGAGCTTTCATTCTGCCCATGTTCACCCTTACACCCTCGTGTGGCTCTGCTTTGTTGACATGCTAATGTAAACACAGTCTCGTAGAGAAATGAAAAGCCCGGTAAATACTCAATCAACGTCTCACAGACAAAAAACATCAGATTCACCGGACGAAAATTCATTTTATCCTTTGCTTTACTGCCTGCTTTAATTTGAGCATCGATTTTAATACCTCGTTTATCAATGCATATATTTTGGCTCAAGAAAGGTTGAAGCTCCGCTTCTAATATTTTTTTGGGAGTACTGCTCGGCCGGTTCTTGAATGTCGGACCTTGAAACACTAGTTGGTAATGCATTTTAGTCTGCATTTTACCCCTGTCATCACCCCTCAGACATTTTTAAGCTGTATTGTATGAGTCTCGATATAAATATGTTATAAGACATTCGCATGTACGTTTTTTTTTATACGGCACGGTACAAATGCTACATGGTAACCAAACGTACAATCAAAACACAACAGCCTGTTCACGTTAGAAGTGGTAGTGATTCGTACTGAGAACTAAAACTAACTTGCTTAGCGTTTCCACGAAAAATGAGCCATTGTTAAAACTTGTTTACGTTTGCAAGACGGTGACGCAGGACCAAACTGTCAAAAGCAGCCAATCATAGGACAGCCTGTACACACGAGTGTGGCATATTGCGAGGCCTCGTAGTGTATGCAAAAAGCTATTTCGAGGAGCTATTCGACATCGCAAAAGTTGGCCTGGTTTTCCATCTTCATATGATCGTGAATCGCTGAGAGGGGCACACTGGCATAAGATTACCCCGCTGGAAAATTGTCAGCGTGATCTGTGCTTGCTGTTTCACTGAGCTGACAGTGCGTGTTTTGCGGCACGCAATTCAGTTGTGGACAAGAACTTGTTCCACCGACTCTCGCGACCAAGGACAGGGAATTAGTCATCTTATCTTCGGTTAGTTGTTCGTTAATGATTTTGACTTAACTTCTAATCTCCTCTTCGAGGTGACTCCGTTAACTCCGAGCTGTATGACGAGTATCGTCGTAGACGCAAAGCGGGAATCTGATTTATGATCAGCTATAGAATATATATATCGACCACCATTATATATCCCTAAACTCTCGACGAGTCGTTACACAGGCAGCTAAACTTATTGTAATCAAGTCGAGTACTTGTCTGATGTTTTCAAACAACTGAAAAAACGTACAACGGCCGGGAATATTAATCTCGGCACGGAAGTAAGCGCCATTTTCTCAGAAATACAGTATTTACATAGTCACGCATCATTTCCTCGAAAACCGTAGGGGGCAGTTTTATGAATAGCGTGCTTTGTCTGCCTTGCGCTTAACGTCCTTAACCGGCTCTCTGTGTAGCGAGAAGAATTGACGCATTGCAAATAACCTTTAGATTTGACAGTAATGCAAATTTTATTTTTCTAATCATTGACTTCAGTTTGGACAATTTTGCCGTCTCAAGTAACAGCACACTGGTTTGACGTGGTTCAAAGCTGTCAAGTAATCGTGACCCAGCCGGTGTACTTTATAGAAACGCTGGTCAGTAGCAAAGTTTGGAGTGATGCGGCCAAGCCAATGAATATTGAACGACTTTGCAAGAGCTGAGAGGGTATGTGAATCCTTTTTTGCCCAGCATTTTGAATAATTTATTAATTTGGTTGAGTGATTTTAGCTAGCCAGCTGTACACAATTTGACATGTGATTTTTACATGATCTTAGTAACTTGGTGATTCTGATAGTGGTACTCTAACCTTATTATGTGAACGTGATGAGAAAATATACATGTAACTATCAAAACATTAGAAAAACGTTAGGTAACGTTCCGTTGCAAGCCACGAAAGTGGAAACTTAGAATTTAGAGGTACATATTTTGTAGCAGCACAGGCGGCCCAGACGTTGTATGCGATTAAGGTCATTCCTCGCATTTGCATTGCGCATCCTTACTGCGTATAATTTATGGCGTCATTAGCGCGCGCTCGTGCACGCGCACATTGAAAACATGACGGATTTGCCTTGATATTGAGCTCTGTCAGTTGAAAAATGGCTCTAGCTTACCAACGAGCACGGGCACCCCAATTTTTTTCCACTCATTGTAATCAACTAATCATAAGCTTTGCGTGAGAAAAGACTGATCTAATTTCTATTGCTGAAAATTGAATAAATAAGAAAAATAGCAGATACATGGTGGTCTTTTCCTCCAGGAACCCAGAGACATCAAAACAACGCAATGCAAACATAAGGTAACCCATTTTATTCAAATTATTTTCTACACGTAGCATTTAGAGTAATTTTCGAAGCATTCTCATACATTGTCTTATAAACGGCTAAAATTGTCACGCAATCGCCAACAGCATAATGTCACGTATTAATCGCATACAACGTCTGGGCCACCTGTGGTAGCAGGGAGTTTTCCAAGACAGAGGTAGTCTAAGTATCAGGCCTTCCTAAGGGGAGGGGTAAGGGGAGGAGGAGAGAACCTTTTTTACCTTTCCTCCTGTCCCCCCCCTTCCCTTACTTTCGAAAAGCCTGATACTCAGGCTAAGACAAAGGGACCCGCTATAATTTGAAGTTTCGTGGGTAATTAATTATTGTAGTCGTTTTGACATCCCGCCGATAAAACTTGTTGTACTTTGGACGCGAACGTTCACATTACAGTCTGTCGAACTTCACATGATTAATGACGAGTCATGCAACGTTGAATACCCAAACAGATGATATTTTTTTCTCATGACCTGTTCACGTTACCCGGTCACGTTCAAATGAAATCGATGTTAGACTCTTATTTGAATTTGAAACATCTTCAGTTCAAAATCAAGTACACCTTCTATCATGGAAATTTAAAGAGGTCGGCGGAAAACGAGAAAATAACGGACGCTAACGCAGTGTACCATTTGCTTCTTTGATTTCAGTGAAAGGAAGCGATTTTGATCACACACCCTCAAAACACTGCATCAATAAACGCTTCATATGGCGAGCCCTGCGACATCACTTTTAGTCAGTTCTGAAGAAAGATATAATGGTGCCAAGTTACGCTGGCTTATTTTGGATTGGGGTACACCAGCGTTAAGGTGCGTTTTCGATGGTTTTCATCCTCCTTCAAGGCTAGCTGCTACTCTCAACGTTGAACGTCAGACTCTAGAAAATCTTTTGAAAAGACGTGTTCTGACGAGAACGCAGTGGAATCAGCTATTCCCGACTGATGGCGTATGTGTGGGTTCTGGCGAATTTGACATTACACTGCTTACCATCCTTCTTACCAACATTTGTGGCTTGCATCGCCCGCGCACGGGATGGCACGGCAAACCACCCTCAAGTGACACATCACGAGAAGCAAATATCGCGCGTCTCAAATATTATCGAAATTTACTTTTTCATCGCGCAAACGGCTCTGCAGTTTCCTCGCAAGACTTCGAAGTCTATTGGCAGGAAATTGCTGATACCCTCATTGCTTTTGGAGAGGACAGAAATGCCATAGACGCTCTGAAAGCCGAACCAGGAGGGATTAATGTGCTCGACAAACTGGAAATGTGTGACTTTACGGCTGAAATAGAATATCACGCAAGTAGAGGTCGATTCCAGGACGGAACTCGTGATTGGGCCTTTAACGATGTCGAGGATTGGCTGGATGACAGAGAGTCTCAACACCAGGTAATGGCAATCACGGGAGATGCAGGAATGGGAAAGACGGTAATATCTGCTGTAATCTGCAAGAGAATGCAAGAGGCTGGCAGACTATCTGGGAGTCACTTTTGCCAACACAACTTTCCCCGCTACCGTAATCCCAAACTGGCGCTTCAGTCGTTGGCCTTCCAACTGAGCTGCAATTTGCGTGGATACAAGGAAGCTCTTGTGAAGCGGATCTCGCGAAACTTCGGCGATCAACTAAGCAGTCTGGGCGTAAACGATCTGTTTGCTCTGCTTTTCAAGGAGCCTCTAAGCTCTGTAGCTGACCCAGGGAGAAACGTCCTCATAGTTATAGATGGCTTAGATGAAAGTGAAGATCAAGGAAGGAACGAGTTGTTAGATGTAATTGCCAACCACTTTTGCAGGCTTCCCCGTTGGATTCGACTTCTAGTCACCACAAGACCAGAGAAAAAGATTTTGGACAAGATGAGAAGTGTCAAGTCTTTGGAATTAAGACACGACGATGAAAGAAATCACAGAGATATCGAGGTCTTCTTTGAAAGGCGAATTTGTGACAGAATACCTCCAGAAGAAACAAGTAGAATTACAAGAGAGCTGGTGCAGCTGTCGGAAGGGCAGATGTTACATGCTTATTTCCTCTTAGAATTAATTGAGAAAAGCACATCACCACAAACCCCAGAGCAACTCCACTCAATCTTCCCGCAAGGAATTTCAGCAATTTACACAACCTATTTCAAGAGAATGGAGGCTAAACTCGAGGAAGAATTGGAGAGCAACTGCGGCAAATTTCTGACCGATTTCCTGTGTGCCCTGACAGCCACAAGAGACCCTTTGCCTAAAGAGTTTGTCACGGAAATACTACGGCAGAACATCAATATCTCAAAAAATGATCGTTGGAACGTTCAGCGAAAACTTGACAGTGTCATCAGTTGTATTTCATCCCTTCTTCCCATTCGAGGTGGCAATGTTCACATCTTTCACAAATCAGTCAAAGAATGGTTGACTGACAAATCACGACATGGAAGCCATGAGTTTACCATGTTGGAGAAGGATGGCCACAAGATTCTTGGTAAGATTTGCGCCACAGAACTTGACAAGTTGAGGGCAAATAATGTACACGATGCACCATTCAGCGACACCCAAAAATATGCCTTACGACACGGGTTTCATCACATGCTAGACGCGTTAGATGATTTCAGCCAGCTGGAAGAACTGGTAAAGAAGTACGTAACGGATCTGGAACTCGTTTACGCCAAATTGTGTGCCAAGAACACCGACGTGCTGAAGGAATTGCTCCTTGTCCAAGAACATCGGAGTCACAGTGTATTGAGCGAGGAAATTGTCAGCAAAATTGAAAGTTTGCAGTTGCCGTTCAAGAAGCATGGTAGCCTTCTTCAAGATCTTCCTCATGTGATTTTCCAAAACTTGCTGAACGAAGGAGGATCGGAACTTTCTCGTGAAGTATTACAATTGCTTTCGGCCAAACACCTTGAAATACCATATATGGAGCTCCTAGACAAAAGCGAGTACAAGAGTCCTGTTAAAGGGCGATTTTACTGTTCAGATAAAGTGGTTTGTTTTGATGTTTCACCAGATGGGAATCACATGGTGTGCGAAGGCCGAGATGGAACGATTCATTTATGGTCACTTCAGACTGGTGAAGAAGAATGGCAGCGGGTGAACTCCTGGGAATCCAAAAAGCCGTACGGCGACGTTCCCTTTGGAACTGCTTTTCGAAGAATTGGTACGAACGGTGAGACTGGAGGCCAGACACTTTCATTTTATCGTTCTACTGTTTTTCATCCAAATGGGCAGTATATATTGCCTGGAAACATGGCCAATGTTTACAACTTAAGAGGACAGCCAACGTCACTCTTTCCAGGAAGTAACTGCCGTTTCACAGCTTGTTCTTTCTCTGGAGACAAGAACAGGATGTTAACAGATTGCCCAGCCAGTCGCAAAGAAGTAGTGGTGTGGAATACAGAAAGTGGCGAGGAAGTCAAACGCTTCACGTGGGAAGAGGACATCAATTCTTTCGCCCTCTCCCCAGACGGAAATCTTGTAGCAATTTCCGACTCAAAAGGCTCTCTGTGGTGGTACAACGTTGAGAGTTCTATTTTGGCACCTGAACTAGTACCTACAGAAATTTCTAATACAGCCTGTGGACTACTACACATTACAACCAGGCGAACTCTTGTTTGTGGGAGCATCGATAACACTCATTCTGATCGCCGTGACGTCTACAAACTGAGGAGAAATGTGTTTGACTCTGCCTTCATAGCAAACCGCCAACCACATTGCACTTGCAATTCCAAAGTCTGGCTGTGGCCTTGGGAATCCGTCGATTCTTTGGACAGACTGCGAGCCGTTTGCAAAGTTTACCATCACTTTGTTTCATCAGAGGTGATGATAGGATTTTGTTTCTTGTTACCTGGAGATGTTGCAGTGGTTGGAGGTCCGACTGTTAATTACTTGACAATGCTTGATGTTGCCCCCACCAACAATGCAGGGAAGATACCACGGACAGTGGAGAGTACATTTGCATGGGACGCCACCCAAGTGTATACAGCCGTGACCACAAACAGCCAGAAAGATTTTTCAGATACACCATGTTTAGTAACAGTATCTGCTCGGGACGTCAACAGTGCCAGGGACGTAAGAGCAGAAAGGAGCGTTCAACACAGTAATGCACGTGTCAACAATGGGCGTCTGAGTTCTCCGGTTGAGAGAGGTGTTCTTTTTCAGACCACCAGCGACACATTGCAATTATGGAACTGCAGCTTGTCTGAATGTGACAAACCTATGACCATGCCAAGTAAAGTCGAGAGACTGATTCCTGTATCGAAGGAACTTGTTGGATGCGTTTTACACACATCTTCTTCCGAAGAACAACATTCATTGAAACTATCCATGATCGACGTTTGTTCAATGAAAGTTGTCTTTGAACGAGTTTTGGATGGTAGAGCACAACTGAAATCTGTTGCATGCAGTATTCAAAGGAACGTTGTTTTCTGCAATGAACAAGAGACCAGCGACAAGCGCCAATTGGTCCTCTACAAGAATGTGGCAGAGATGTTCACCTGGAAAAGAGACGACACGATTTATAAAGGCGATTGTTCTTGGAGACAACCGCATTGCGTGTTTTCCCCTAACGGAGAGGTGGTCGTGACTTGGAATACTCTGAATGATGGGTATGGATTGCACGTCCTCATGGCAAGAACAGGAAGAAAAAGCCACGTCTTCCTCGAAAACCGTTATGACATCGCTGACTGCAAGTTTCTCAACGATGGAGAATCTGTTCTTTGTTATAGATTTAATGATAACAACGTGTGGATGTTCAATGTTGCCTCAGGTCTAGTACTAGCTGTCATAGACGTTGGCGAGCGACCAACTTGCATAGGAAGTTCTCCTAACGAGTCTCTCATTGTCGTTGGCCTTCGTTTCTCGAACCTAAAGTTGATTCGAGCACGGCTGCCGAGACAAGGAAGAACTTGCGTCAGACGGACACGAGGTAAGTCTGCAAACCTTGTCCATAATCTGGCAGAGTTTTGTGTAAGTTGAACTTCGTAGTTAACCCAAAACAATTCGGGCTGACGCTTAGCTGGTCGATCGCGACCTGAAATGTTAGCCATGTCTCTGTCCAATTATGCTCTTCATGTGACCGTATCGCTTGTAACACGGCAATCGATGGTTTCAAATGCAAGATTTAAGTTTTGAAATTTTTTTGACATCGGTTAGTGGCAAAGAGAGGGGCCCTGAGGTGCCACCTCCTCCCTAATTTCGGAAAAATGCGAGGCACAAACGACTGTAAATTCTCCTTCCCAGGCAGAGAAAATAAGATCGTTGTCTCTTGTTCCCAACCGTTGGAGAGGGAGGACTCCCTTTCTGGGCAAGGTAGAACGCATCCACCCTTTCAAGCGGGACACTAACTGGGTGGTAAAAAGTAAGATTTTCAGCAGACCCGGAGGTCAGGCCAGATGTTTTATCCACTCGGCATTGGCCCATAACATCCTACAATGAAATATCTTTTGCCTTTTTCTTTCAAACTTCGAAATTTTTGGCCTTTTGAGCTGAACATATTTATAGATTCAAATGTAAGCTGTCCCTTAGCCGGGTGACGGAGACAAAAAGATAGCTGACATTTCAAGCGAGGCATGAAACGGCCTGACAAACGTACAATAGAAATGGAATCTGATAAAATATTCTTTTTCAGAATCGAGACACCAAGAAGTTTCAGGGAGGTACTAAGGACAGACCTGGTGGACATCGGCTGGTGGCCAAGAGAAGGGCCCGTGATTGTGGGGCCCGTAAATCGTAGTTGGTGACTTGAATACTGCCATTTGACACTTTTTTTCCCTCGAGTTCAGGATCTCTGTGCGTTACATTTTTGTGTATGTAAACACTGATTATCTCACAAGAATAATCGATCCCAAAAACTCGGGGGCGCGGGGATTGGGCGAGGGGTAGGGGGGGAGGTGTTAGACTAAACCGTGATTGGGTTTGATTTCCTGATTTATTGAAAAGAAAAAAACAAAACAAAAAAGAAAAGAAAAGAAAAGAAAAGAAACCAACAACAACAACAAAATCCAGCACGTTTGGTCTTGCTGAGCACGTTATATTGCACTGGCACTAGTTTAGTTTTCAAGGCATTTACTGATTTTTGGTTTATTTGGAAGCTCAATTGGCTTCTGAATCTAGCTTAGATGAACCATAAAACTACGTAATTCCACGAAATTGTATCACAACAACTATGACAAATTATATATTCATTCAAAGTGACACCCAGTCGTAACCATAGTGATAACAAACCGGATACGACAAGCATGCCTTTAGTTGTAAAGAAGGGAGGATGCCCCCCCTACACTGACTGCCTTTACCGCTGGCCTATCGTGGTTATCCTGTACAGTCTTTGTTATCCAGCTCCGCGTAGTGGCGTGTAAAATGCACGTTTAAAACGAGTCCAAATATCTACTCTAGAACATCGGTTTATACCGATAATATCTACTCTTGAACATCGGTTTAAAAGCGATTATCAATCGTCCGAAGGATAAAAGATGGCGACGGTACACCTACCCATAATTCTTAGCGAATGAAAACCTTAAACATATGCAGAAAAGTTCTAAATTCGTCAAATCTAGCATACATCCTGTCCCTAGTACAGGGAAAATATTTCAAAACTATGGCTTTATCGCATGGTTTATAAATGAGTACCGGTGAATTTAATGCTGGGGGTAACCCTGCGATGGACCAGAATCCCATCCAGGGGGGGGGGGGGGNCTCTGGATAGCAATTTGCCCCTAGACAGCGTTATCCAAATCCTCTGCGCCCTGTAGGAAATGTTTGCATAGAGGAGTAGTAGAACCTAGTCGCTTCATGCCACAGAAACCGAGATAATTCCGGCCTGGTGGCCCACTTGGTTCGTACAAGTATGCAGACTTTACCTTACCATTACATGGTATTGTGGTAAAATGTACAGCCGCCATCTTTTCTGCTACGGAGGATATTTATTTGTAATTTTTCTAATGTACGTACCTACAGATTAAATCAGAGTTTGAAAAAATATCGTAGAAAACCTTACATGATTGCTTTACATTTTTTCTGGTCATGTCTTATTCCTGTGCTACAACATGTAGAGTAAATGTGCATTAAACGCAATGCTTAAATGTCACATCTGAATTCGAAATTGCATTGCTCCTTGGATTATTCTTTGCAACTTCTCAAGTTGAAGAGAATTTAAATGTGCTACTGTTGTTTACTCAATTTTGAATCGTTGCAAATCCAGAATATATATACACGCACGAATAGAACAGTGGATTGGCCAAATGTGATTCGAACTGCCTCTTGGCAGGTTAATTCACCTTCGCAAGATGTCCATGTTATCGATATGTACAAGCACTTATTGCGACATCATTTTCACGAACTCTGAAAGAAACAAAAATACCAAGGAATATTAAAGAAAGTGGACAGTTCCAGGAAAATGCTTCTGCTAAAATCAATTTTTAAACTTTTGCTCTTACGATCCTTTTCAATGGTAAGAGGGCACTCGATGGTATTGCCGGCTTAATAGAATACATGCAAAAATTTCAGCACGTTGATTGGTTGAGACCACGTCAGTTAATCTCAAATAGTGCAGAAAGTTGAAATTGAGTGCAGAAAGCTGAAACTAAATTGCATGTGCACTATTAACAAGTTAGCAAATGATTTTTCTCGTGTGATTTGGAATACTACAAATTGCTCTCGCCCTAAGGGTTCGTGCAAAATTTGCTTGTGCTTATTTGTTTCAAGTTGCCCTCGGAATCATTTGATTAACCCTACAAACCGCTCCAGGGGAAACTGTTTTCTCTAAGTCGTAACTTTGCAGCATTGTTTCGAAAGGTACATAACAATTAAAGATTGCCAATGTTGAAGAAAATTTCAAGCATGGATCATAAATAACATCACAACTCAGCTGGGGTCATATTAGTCGACAATTAGAAAATCGATGGAATGTGCAAAGAAGGTCTTGTTTATGTAACGTATGCTTAGTGAACCGCGAGAAAAAAAAAATATAGTAAGGGAATCAACCCTGGGGGGAATCAACCCTGGGGGGAATCAACCCTGGGGGGAATCAACCCTGGGGGACTCTCATATATAAAGGACGGGGGTGCTTGTGGTACCTTTCAGGGGTAAAAACAAAGCGGGTTTAGTACCTCAAAAGGTCCACTGCGGTAGCTTTCGCGATACCTATCAGGGTATTGAGCCACCAAAAAATATGACAGGATATATTTGGTACCTCTAAGGGGTGAAAAAAATTTCAAGCCACGCCCACAAAACAGGGTCTTGGTACCTCTTAGAGATTCTTATTAAAACTTCCGACGAGCACCCCTGTCCTTTTTAAATGGGAGTCCCCCCGGGGGAATTAATGGGAGACCCGGGGAATGATCGAGAAGGCCCCATGGGGGATGTTGCAAGAGCTTTCAAAAACAATCAATCAAATACCTTCAAGATCAATTTGCCCGTCTCCATTTAAATCAGCCGTTTTGATAATTTCCTCGACTTCCTCTTCTGTCAGCTGTTGGCCAAGATTCATCATGGTCCACTTGAATTCCTCAGCGCTAATGTAACCGTTCCCATCCATGTCAAACACTTTGAACATCTCTCGGAGTTCTGCCTCCGTGTCTGTTCCCTTCATGCGCGTTTCCATCAAATGAAGAAACTCCCGGAAGTCGATGATGCCATTACCTTGGGAAAACGGGAAAGGACCTGTTAGCATTGAAACGTGCTTGCGCGCTTTGTCAAATTGAGTCCAAAAAATTGAAATCGATTTTCAAAATAAATCTCCTTGGAGAAAAATCCGTTCCTATAACATATAATTTATTTAACAAATAGATTCCATGTTTACGAGCGTCTAGATCTGTTCAGTTTTAGTATAAATCTACTAGCGTTCTATCACGAATGCCGTTCTCTGATTTGCTACGCTACTCACTATCTATTCTGTGATAGATGGTGAGTAGCGTAGCAGTGTGCCCTTGTTAACGAAATGACGGCCGCTTCTTGGCGTTTTCTTGGCGTTTTCGAAGTGTCTGTGAAAGGGGTTTAGATAAAGTAGAAAGACTAGTAGATTTATACTAAAACGATTAGATTATTCGCTCTCGATTTCTATCGCGTGATAGTTGACGAGGGCGCAGCCCTCGTCAACTATCACGCGATAGAAATCGAGAGCTCATAATCTAATTGTTCAATAGATCACAGGTTATGTCAAAATATGGCAAGAGAACAAAACAGTTGCACACGAGCCATTGGCGAAGTGTGACTGATAATCTTGCCACGTTTTGATGTCTTCAGAACACACTATAAACCAAAATATAGCGTAGGGAATCAAGGGTAGCCATTTTCAAAATAACAGGGGTTGCTGATCAGACCATAAATGGTAACTCGGCATTTTAACGCGAACTCGTGAAAGGGCAAATCCCTATGCGTGGAACGGGTTGCTCTTTCCCTCTCATTATTTTCATTTCGTTTCTCTAATTCCTCTCAGTAGGTAATTGGGCTATTGAATAGCGTACGGGGAATTGTATATTCAGAAGAAGCATAGATACGTTTGTTAAACTTGAGTTCTAAAAGCCTTTCGATTAATTCTGGTATCGAAAAGCGCCGTTAACGTCCGTCCGTCCGTCGGAAAGTAAGTGATAAACACCTTACTTCCCCTTACAAAATCAAAACATTATCGAGTACACAAGTGAGGAGAATATAAAAATCATTACATAGGAGACCATGATTGTATTGATGAGCTGCCAAGTTCTCCAAAATTGCAATTTAAACACATGTACATGGCAATTGCTCTGAGAGAATTAATATGATTTCTATCTAGGGTAGAAAAACAATGATCTAAAAACACTGCTAATGGCCAATTGCCTCTATGAGATGCGCCGGCAGGGAATCATGGTAGTTGTACTCAAATGGGAATGGTTATGAAACTCGACAAAGTTCTTTAATTTGTTGTGTTTTTGTTCTCTGTTTTGGCCTTGACCGTGCACAAAACACAATTGTTGTTTACTACTGACCGAGGAACTAACCAATCGAAGCGTTTTGGTTACGTAATTCATGCATAGTGCCGAAGAAAAGGTTGTTGTTATTCATCGTGGTGGATGCAATAATAAAGTGTATTATCGTTTGCCTCACGATGCAGTCACTTTAGATGTAGATCGTGACGTTTCGACTGCTTACTACTAGTCTTCTTCAGGTCTGAAGAAGACTAGCAGTAAGCAGTCGAAACGTCGCGATCTACATCTAAAGTGACTACATCGTGAGACAAACGATAATACACTTTGTTATTTCATGCATAGTGTATGAACGCAAAACAAAAGATTGTGCACATAAATCTTGGTATCTCTGTTTGCTCCTTTGATGTTTACCGGACTTCATTACCAGTCCCCTCTCTATTAACTATGATCAAAACAAATATCCAGTCCAAGATGATGAATACAACTACCATGATTCCCTGCAGGCACGTCCAATGGAGGGAATAGACCATATTCGTATTCCCGGTATTGGACTGGAACTAGCTTGCAAGTGAGGCTGATGCGGGGAGTCTTTTCAAATGCAAATGACGTTAATCTCCTTTTAATGATATTCCCCGCATGAGCCTCCATTGCAAGCTGGTTCCAGTTTGATACTGAGAAACTGGTCATTGAGTTTGGCGGAAGATTATAGACCATAGAGAGAGCGACTCTTATAGATATTTAGTTATTTTTGATGTGGTTTCACAGCTTGGTAATTAATTACCATCAGGAGCCATAATCGGGGACGGAGACCGTAAGTCTTGGGATCCGCGCGCACCTATGATATGGGACAATTTTTCTATTTTTAGAACAAATTGCG